CCCCAAAACCCCAAAACCCCAAAACCCCAAAACCCCTTAAATTAAGCGTAAAATTGAAAGTTAAGGTTTAGGTTATCTCCTTCTGTCACTAAATAAGCCATCGTCCTTTTTCATATTCTTCTTTGGAGGGGGCGGATTAGCAAATGGAGATCGATTCCAGCTGGAAACATTTTGGCTCATAGTCTGTCCCATATTTGTATTAGATGATGATTGAACTCCAAATATAGCATTTGAAGGTTTAGCTTGGCCCATGGAGAAAAGAGGGTTTCCACTGCTCTGATTTTGGGTGCTCATATTCCCAAATAAAGAGGATTGCGAGTTAATACATCTATTGCTCCCTTGGGGACCAAAAAGCCGGCCTGGGGAGGGCTTCTGTTGTACATTGAAGGAAAACAGGGATGTATTATTCTGCTGTGGTCTTGTGGGACTCTGTGTTGGAGGCGTCGATTCTCCCATACCCACATCATCAGACATGGGAGTGTTAGAAGTTGACTTTTTGCTGGCGTGGATTGATCCAGGAGGAGGAATAAACACCTGCTGTTCTATGGACGTCTGTATAAGTGGTTCGGCCTGTAGAGTTATAGTTAAAATTTACTGGATCCATTCCGAAGAACTTTTGGTGAGGAGGTTCGGGCTTTGAGTTTGAGCCTGAAAAGAAGTTTACCGGGGCTTCTCTTACATTCGAGTTTGACAAGAAAGGGTTTGACTTTTGAGCCAATTTCTTTTCGCTGTTAGGAAATACCGACCCTGTACCATTACCAAACAAGGAACCTGAAGAACGAGGTTTTACTCCTTGATTCTGCTCTGCAGGTTTTGGTTCACTAGTCTTTTTAAATAAAAGAGAAGGAGCTGGAGTTGAAGAACTAGCTGCTAAAGAGGTTGTGGTTGCTGAAGCAACAAAAGGATTCTTCTTCTCTTGTGAATTAATCTCTTGTTTCTCCTCAGTAATATTTGATTTAGAAGGTGCAATTGATACTAGAGAAGCCTCTTGAAGAGGAGCCTGTTCTGGATTTGCTGACTCAGAATTTACAGGCTCAAGATTTACAGGCTCAGGGTTTACCGGCCCAGGGTTTACCGGCTCAGGGTTTACCGGCTCAGGATTTACAGGCTCAGAATTCACAGGGTCCGAATTTACAGGTTCAGGATTAGCAGGCTTAGGATTAATCAGTTCAGGATTTACTGGTTCAGGATTAACAAGTTCAGTAATAATCGACTTAGTAACAATTGGCTTTGGTAACATCTTCTCTTGAGTTTTAAGATTAACTTCTTGGCATTCATCTTTTGAATCATCTTCCTCTGTAGTTTCTGGAATAGGCTGTACTCTATTAGGTGATAATCTTACTTTCTTTCCTCCTTTCTTCTTTATGGTTCTTTGGATTTCTTTTCGAGTACTGTTTTTCAAATGTCCACGAATGAGAGAATTCTTTGAACGGGATCTGCTCTTTTTCTTCTTTTTGTGATTCTTATCATTTGATATTTTCTTATCTGTTAATGATTTTCTCTGAAGATTTTTACCATTTTCAGTTGTTTCATACTGAGATTTTGTGTTAGACTCCTGCTGAATTCTTTTATGATTTCCATTGGATTTGCTTTCTTTTGTCAGTAGAGGGTTGCTGCTTATTTCTCTCTTGGTAGACTTTAAGGATAGGATTGATGAATTTTGAGCTTTGTCAATATTTTCTAGATCATTTCTCTTTTTCTTAGGAGGCTCTTTCTCTTCTTCTCTATTGTTCAACTTCGAGTTCTTTATAATCTTATTTATGTTGATAAGCGAAACTCCTTTCGGGTGAGTAGGCATGATTATTTGTCTTTGGAGTATCTCTCTATTTTCTGTCCTTTTAGATGTATTTGAAAATTTCCTTTCTTTACTCGAAGATGTTCTTGCCACTTTAAAAGAGTTCTTTCTGCTTTTACTATTCTTTCTGCTAATTTTACTAGGAGAAGCATTTTTCTGTGGAGTACTCTTTCCTGAAACATCACTCAACACAAAGCCCTCATCTTCCAAAAACGGATTATCCCCAATATCTTTCACACTTAATCTCCCTCTACATACCGGAGGCAAAATCCCTTGCTCTCTCAACAACTCAATAGTTTCCTTCTTACTCTGCGCCCTCTCTTCCCTTATAACCTCCCCTACAATCCTCTTCACACTCTCTCCATACACATCACTCCCTATACTCCCCCTAACCACCCTCTCCAGCTCCTTCCTAAACTTCTCTTTCCCCTTCTTCCTTCTCTCCTCCCCCAAACTCTCCTCATCCCCCTCTTCTCCCCTCTCCTCCCTCTTCTCCCCCTCCTTCCTCTCCTCTCTCTTCCTCCTCTTGGCCGCCCACTGCCCTCTAGGCACGACTGGCTGCTGTAAATCTCTCTTAAGTTGTAGCTCAGCGTAGCTCAGTTGTTCTATTTGGTGGTATCTGCGTTTACGAAGAAGTGGTGGTTTTGTGGTTGGGGAGGATTGGGATGGGTGAGCGGGGAGGGGAGCAGGGGTGGTGGGTTTGGAGGGTTTGAGGCTGGAGGGAGGGTGGGTGGGGAAGGGGGTGTTTAGTTGGGTTTTGAGGGTTTGGATGTCGACGTTTTGGAGTTTAGGGCGAGAGGGTTGGAGGGAGAGGGTTGTGAGGTGGGGGTTAGAGGTGGGTTTGGAAGGGGAGTGGATTCTCATGGCAGGATCGTCGGGTATACAGTACTTTTTACAGAGGGATCCCATGGATTTGAGGATTTTCTTGAATGTGCTCCATCTGTTTGGAGGATCATTTCCAGCATGTTTCATCATGTAAGGGTTGTATTTATACCTTCTCACCTCTGTCACAGTGAAGAATTTCCTTGGTGGTGTCCCTAAGTCATTTTTACTCCTATTTTCGTGTGTTTGGTTTGATCTGTTCATTAACAAATTATTTTATATCCGCAATAATTCTTTGAATATAAGGGGTTTTGGGGTTTTGGGGTTTTGGGGTTTTGGGGTTTTGGGG